AGATTCATTCTTCTGCATGTGCTGTCCAGTTTTCCCAGCACCACTTGCTGAAGAGACTGTCCTTATTCCATTGGCTATTCTTTACTGCTTCGTCAAAGATTAGTTGGCCATACGTTTGTGGGTCCATTTCTGGGTTCTCTATTCTGTTTCATTGATCTGAGTGTCTGTTCTTGTGCCAGTACCATACTGTATTAATGACGACAGCTTTGTAGTATAGCTTGAAGTCTGGGATTGTGATGCCTCCTGCTTTGGTTTTCTTTCTGAAGATTGCTTTGGCTATTCGGGGTCTTTTCCGGTGCCATACAAATCTTAGGATTGTTTGTTCTAGCTCTGTGAAGAATGCTGGTGCTATTTTGATAGGGATTGCATTGACTATGTAGATTGCTTTGGGTAGTATTGACATTTTAACAGTATTTGTTCTTCCTACCCAGGAGCATGGAATCTTTCTCCATTTTATTGTGTCTTCTTCAATGTCTTTCATAAGCTTTCTATAGTTTTCAGCATATGGATTTTTCACCTCTTTGCTTAGATTTATTCCTAAATACTTTATGGTTTTTGGTGCAACTGTAAATGGGATTGATTCCTTGATTTCTCTTTCAGTCGCTTCATTGTTGGTGTATAGGAGTGCAACCGATTTCTGTGCGTTGATTTTATACCCTGCAACTTTGCTAGATTCATGGCTCAATTCTAGAAGTTTTTTGGTGGAATCTTTTGGGTTTTCCAGATAGAGTGTCATGTCATCTGTGAAGAGTGAAAGTTTGACCTCCTCCTGGGTGATTTGGATGCCTTCTATTTCTTTGTGTTGTCTGACTGCAGAGGCTAAGACTTCCAATACTATGTTGAGTAACAGTGGGGAGAGTGGACATCCCTGTCTTGTTCCTGACCTTAGGGGTAAAGCTCTCAGTTTTTCCCCCATTGAGGATGATATTAGCATTGGGTCGTTCGCATATGGCTTTTATGATCTTGAGGTATGCTCCTTCTATCCCTACAAAGGCAAACCAAAGAGAAAGGCAGTCTACTAGTTCTCTGTAATAGTAACAGCCAAACATGAGGGGACACAAACTTAGAACCTGCTCAGCAGCAGCAAATATAAGGCTGGGAACCAGACCGCAGACCTTTGAGTGGCCTGCAGTG